TCATAAAAACTAATCGCTGTCTTCGTTTGTATAGTTCATGCACACGTATTATCTTTCCTGTTAAACTGCATGTTATAGAATATATACATATGTAGTTATGAGCCCGCACAAGAATGTTCATAGCAGCATTGCTTATATTAGTGAAACAATTTAAATGTCCACTTACGGGAGAATGGATGAACAAGTTACATTATTGGACAAATTGACGTACACAGAATGCTAAAAGATGGAAATTAATGAACTAAAACTATTAGTAATATTAATTTAGAGTTCATTAACATAAATTGAGAAAAAAAGCAACTTACAGAAAGATGTATATGGTATACCATAAATAAAAGTTTAAAAACAAGAAACTGTGAGCTCAAACTGTGTATCATGTAAGGAAATGATAGATTCCAAATTCAGAGTAGCGGTTAGTGCCAGAGAGGAGGAGAAGGGAATGTAACCGGGTTCACCTCATAGAATGTTTCATTTTCTACCAAAAATAATTTGCAGAAAATGTGACAAAACATTAAAGGTAGGTGGAGGATACATGAGTGTTAAATTGTAACTATTGTCTGCACTCCTCTGTATACTTGAAAAGTTTCCAAGTAAATTTTTAATGGAAATTTTATCTAAGGAAACAGCTTATTCTTGATACTGTTTCTGAAGTCTCCATTGTTACTAAATTGCTCATAAAGTGTGTTACAATTTGTCTGCTCAACCAATCATTGTGTTAAATTTCTGAAACCTCACAGGAGCCCTTTACTTGGAAAATTTTGTTAAATTTCTTCTTTGAAGAAGGCAGTGCAGCAGAGAATTTAAATGTGTGGCTTCTGGAGTCAAACTGCGTGGATTCACATCCCACCTCTACCATTTTCTAGCCAAATGCCCAAGGACAACTTTCTTAACCTTTCTGTGATCCAGTTTCCTCATCTATAAATGGGAGTAATACTTATCTAATGGAGTTTTTGTGAGAGTTAGATGTGCCCAGTCCATAGTATATGCTTAATAAATGTTACCTATGCACAGATTATTTTAAAATATAAAATTATTCTGAATACCATTATTGTTTAATAAAATCTAATAGTTTATAAAAAAGAAAATCTCTGCCTCCCATCTCTGTGGAAATGTTTCTTTGAGGGGAATCTCTTGATGTGAGAGAGGTGAATTTTGTTATTTTGCTCTCTGAAAAATGGATAAGTTCTTAATATAAATAATAAGTTCTTTGCCTGAGGTTTGTTCATATTGTCCTACAAATTCCATCCCACACAATAATAGCTTCACCACTTTCCACTGAAAATTAAATGGAGGGTTACAAGCAGTGAGATTATGACATCTTATGGAACTTCCTCCCTGAGGAGTTCTAATAGTCAATGATATTATACGTAATGTGTGTGAGTTTGTGTGCATGCACCTGTGTATTATAAATTATATTGGGAGGGGATGGAGAGAGAGATAATTATTGTATTAGTTTCATGATCTCTACTGCACTGTCTACAGTATTATATTTGTAAATAAAATATAGTCTAGACCTTAACCTTCTGATTCAGAAATAGCTTTTTAGAAACCAAAAACTGACCTGAAATTCTGGATAGACTATGTGGATTGTTTTCACTACATATTTATAATGTCCAATCTTAAATGGGCCTTCAACTTTGCCAAGCAATGCTCGTTTCCCTAGTTAGCTCTCTTCCACAACAGCCGCTTCAGATTTTCTCCACTGTTTTCAAACCAACTCCCTCATTTATTCTCAGCAAAAATTAGAATGCATCAGCGAAGAACTCCAACAACTTCCTGCCTCCACATTCATAAGCCTACCTACATCTACACCCACCTTTCAGACATCACAATGGATCAGGTGTCCCCCCGTCTGAGGCACATATTTCTACATGTTCTCTGTATTCCATCTCTTTGGCCTACTCTTTGGATTCTGTCTCTTCCTACCTTCCCAGGAACTTCACTCAATGAATTATTTATTTACTCAATAAATTTCTGGGTTCTGTCTCTATCACTCCACTGAAATTCTCAACAAGGATCACTAACAACCTTTTCGTTCAACCTAGTGGACACTTTAAAAAAAAATTTTACTTGAACATTTGATACTAGTGACCTGCTGTATTTACATCCCTTGATTTGTGAAACCACACTTTCCTAGCTTTCCTCCTAGATCTCGGGCTTCATTTTACCTTCTAGAACCTTTATCTTCTGCCTGTCACTTAAGTGTCCATGTACCTCAGAGATGTATCCTAGTCAGTTTATTCCTATCTCACTTTTTATACTCTCCTTTAGTGATCTCATTCAGTTCCATGGCTCAGTGACCATATATAGGCTGATAACTCCTAAGTATAAATTTCTAGTCCAGTTCTTTCTCCTTTCTATAAACCTACATACCTGACTGCCCTCAAAATATATGTCTTGATGTTCTCAAAACAGTATATCCCAAATTAAACTCATTTTCATTATATGTGCTTTTATGTTCCCAGTCTCTAAGTGGTATCATCGTCAACCCAACTGCCTAAGCCAGAAATGTGGGTGTTAATACTCGGCCCCTCCCTCTCTCTCACCTCCTACAGCCATCAGAAAGTCCTGGCAGTTTTTCTTTCTCATATATCTCTAATTTCTGCATTTCTCTCCATCTCCATTACTACTATTCCAGCTAGGCCAATATTATCTCCTGCCTCAACTCTGCAATAGTCTTTCTGCCCTGTCACCCTGTTTTACTCCAATTCATTCTTCACATTGTACCTAGAGTGAACTTTCTAAACTTATGTCAGTCCCCTATATAAAGTCTTCAAATTATCCCTCAGGAAACTTACATGATACATTTTCTTATTAATGGTCAATCTGCCATGGCTTGCTCTCTCTCTAAACTCTAGCAAGTCTTGCTTCTCCCTATGTCTGGGACACTTCACTCTCCTTTTATACTTGCATTCCTTACCTGGCTTTCTCCTTTAAGTCTCATCATGTTCTCTAAAATCCTTCTTTGATGTCCCAAGATTGGGCAGGGTACCCTCTTACACCCCACAGGATCTTGTATTTACTCCAGTGGTGGTACTGATAGCACAGTTTTGTAAATATTTGTCTCTTCCATTGGAATCTAAGCTCCTTAAGGCCAGGGACTTCTGTCTTGTTCATTTGTGTGTCCCCAACACCTAGCACAAGGTATGGTATTCATTACTTCATTCAGCAACTATTTCTTGAGTCACAACTGGATCCTAGACACTAGCTCAGTGGTTAATGTGTGGAATGGTGAACCCTTGAGGGAGGTAGGTCTCTGAGATGTGAGGGAATCCATGAGGTCAAAATTATTTTAATTATAATACTAAGACTTTGTCTTTTTTTTTTTTTTCCTGCGGCACGCGGGCCTCTCACTGTTGTGGCCTCTCCTGTTGCGGAGCACAGGCTCCGGACGCGCAGGCTCAGCGGCCATGGCTCACGGGCCCAGCCGCTCTGCAGCATGTGGGATCTTCCCGGACCGGGGCACGAACCCGTGTCCCTTGCATCGGCAGGCAGACTCTCAACCACTGCGCCACCAGGGAAGCCCTGTCTTTTTTTTTTTTTTTAACCTTTTTCATTTTCAGTCTCTCATGAGCGTAATAGTGGAGTTTTCCAGACACTACATGAAGTGTGTTAACTGCAGCAGAATGAATGTGAGAACACAAATAATCCAGTTGTCTAATATTAAGCCAGATATTAAAGGGATTTGCAAAAATGTAAAACAATGGCATTCAAACTATTTTGTTGTTGTTGTTTTGGAAGATATGGCTATTTTTCATACAAGTGTGTTATTTATGTTAACATTTAGTGGATTTATTGTTTTTTAATGAATAAATCATATTTTTTAACTTATCAGTTTTAATTTCGAATACAGTAATATCAATAAATACATTCCACATAAACAAAAAGTCTTTGGGATCCTCAATAATTTGTAAGAATGTAAAGAGATCCTGAGCCCAAAAGTTTGAGAATTGCTACACTAGCACATATTATGTGTGTTCAATGTAGATGTGTTAAATAATTAATGAATGTCAGTTTGCCAAAACTCTGGCACACAGCTGCTGAATGTTTCTTAAAGCTTCTCCCCAAATGCCCAGAATTAATATCTGAATAGGCAAAAAAACACCCAGGCTTATTATCTGAATATGCATAAGTGAAAGTATTTTTTAGGTGAATGTACTTTGTAAACTATGAAGTGTTATACGAATGCAATTGTTTTGGTAATTGTCTATGATAAATATGCTACGTTCTAGCTTTGGTAATAGAGCAGGACTACCTATCATAATCTGATAGTTGACTTGACGATAAGAATTTTTATAGCCAGCCATTTCTCATCAATCAAATTTAACTGATATAACAATGTTGTGGAATAGATATTACCCTTATTTTTCAAACGAGGAAACCAATGTTCAGAGAAGTGAAGTGATTTACTCAAGGTCTCAGAATTTGTAAGAGCCTGCGACAAAGTTCAAATATCTCACACTTTTCAAATACACAAGATATCAGATGGAGAGATTTGTTCCTCTGTTTTCCTGAATCCTATTCTCATTTGCTAGGCATTTGGTCTGGTGAAAGGGTAAGATGGATTTTCGTTTGTTTGTTTGTTTTTTACAATTTTCAGGTACTTCTTCCTTTAATGCAAGAAGAAAGACATGTGAATGCTATTAGGTCTATACGAAGGTTTTCCTTAAGCACCAATTCAGAAAATGACATCATAAGTGAGATGGCGCTTCTTATAGAACAAGTTTGTCCTGTTTACTACATTGCCAAAACTTAGCAGACATAGTCCGGCTGGGTGGTAGGAGTGGAGCTTGAAATTTCAGATGTGTATTTTATGAAGAGGGTTAGGCAATCTGTAATATTTCTTTGTTTACAGTAATGTCCAAATATCCAAAAAGCCCTTGAGTACTTTTCTCCTTTGAAGAACAGTAGAAGAGCATTAAGAAATGATATGTAAAATAGTCATTAACTAACTAAAACTTTTTTTCTTGTGAAAAAGACATAACTTATTCACAAAAGCTGAAGCTAATTTAGTTTCATATTATTAATGAATATGAGAGTATATTTTGTTCAAGTCACATTTTGAATATGAAACCTCATAATTCAACATATTCCCCAACAGAAATATTCTACCACCCACAAAATCTGTTTTAAGTGTAATGAAATACAAACACAGGGAATCAAGGTAAGTATGGTTTAAATACTTTTGTATTTAAAATTTAAATATTTGAAAACTAATAGTGCATTCTAGTGTTAAATTCACGATCAAATAGCATAGTTATCAGAGAAAAGTTCTATTGAGATCAAAGAATTTAACTAAAATAATTGGCAGTGTTATGTTTTACAAATGAAAGGGAATAGATATTGACATGCCCTTTTATAGATTAAGAATCTATATGGTACAGGAAGTCAAGTGACACCTGCAAGGTTATACCACGAGTGAACAGAAATTAGAAAAATTAAAGCCTCATACTTCCTCTTCCTTTGTAAAGATCAAACTTTACCCCACAGAGGAAGAGAGGCCAAAAGACACAGCAGTAATAACAAAACAAAAAAATAAAATGAGAGAACCATGCAATTTGAAGACCAGAGATTTAAACAAACAGCAAATAGCTCTCATTCTTAAATTCTTTACCTTAGAAGGAGGAGTTTTTCTTTTTCCCACCAGCCAAGGAGGGAGTCGGGGAGAAAGCAGCACAGAAGTAGGATGTCTGAATCCAGACTGCCCCGGGAGGCCTCATTTATCTCAATTAAACACTGGAGCCTCAAGGAATTTTCAAATTCCAGGGCTCTCCTGGAAACTTACTTCTAATGCAGATGAGAGTCCCATTTTCCTCTGAGGACTCCATGTCCCTGGTAATAAGATTGGCAGCACAGTTGCCTCTGGGATTGAGGGAATAGAGGAAGTCATTTACCTTGAGGTTTCCTTGCCAGTCATCACCACGTTGTGAGCCATCCAATCTGATTACATGGTAGAAATACCACTGAGCACAATATTGGAGAAAAATCCAAAGTACATTAAAAAAAAATCTATTATAAGTGGAAAATGCCATTGTTGCCAACTCCCTTTGGCATTTCCTACCACTGAATAATAAACTGACTGAAATAGGAAATAGGGACACATGGTTTTATGGGAAACCAGCTGCCTTCAACAACCAGACTTAATATATTGACTTTGGCAATGACTGAATGCCTCCTGCTATATAAGAGGTTTGTGAAAGTGAATTGAATTGTACTTAAGTTTGTGTAGATGGAACGTGTTACATTAGAACAAGGCTGTCACTTTAAGCAATAGGAACTTACCCTCTCAAAACCACTTTTCCTAGCAGACCTCTGAGTGAGTGACTAGTTCCTGAAGGTGGACCTCAGAGATCTCATATCCAGGAAAACAGGAAATTCAGAGAGGAAGCAAATGCCTGTGCCAGACTAATGTGCTTGCTTTATGTGAAGCAATTGCATTGGATTACCATGAAGGTTTACTGGCGGAGGACAAATGCTTAGTAATAGTTAAAATACTGTGTCATTACTCCCTTTATGAGGCTCCCAACAACTTAAAGACTCTTTCTTGTACTATACCTTTAAGCATTTGACATTGATTGGTACCTATTTTAGAGAGATGCTTATGCGTCTGATAAAAAAATAAAAGATCAAATGATAATGTTTGTGATTGTTACCCATGATGTGATCCATTTCATGGAAGGAATTGTGATTGAGATTCATTTATTTATTTACTTTTTAGCTGATACTCTTTTTCCTTGATTTGCTTCTAGAAATTTGGCAGTAAATGATAACATCTTGCCAGTCAACCACTATAAACAGATAAACACATTTTATGAAACAAAAATAATGGCCATCTTTAGTATCCAAAATGGTAGCAGCACAGCATTAAACAATAATGTTGAACTATAGGTATTTCCTCCTGGAATTCTTATTTCAAAAGGCTACATTTGTGTCTTAATAGAATCTAATATCTTAAGAATTGGAAGAGGGCTTCCCTGGTGGCTCAGTGGTTGAGAATCTGCCTGCTAATGCAGGGAACACGGGTTCGAGCCCTGGTCTGGGAAGATCCCACATGCCGCGGAGCGGCTAGGCCCGTGAGCCACAACTACTGAGCCTGCGCGTCTGGAGCCTGTGCTCCACAACAAGAGAGGCCGCAATAGTGAGAGGCCCGCGCACCATGATGAAGAGTGGCCCCCACTTGCCACAACTAGAGAGAGCCTTCGCACGGAAACGAAGACCCAACACAGCAAAAATAAATAAATTAATAAACTCCTACCCCCAACATCTTCTTAAAAAAAAAAAAGAATTGGAAGAAATCTTATAACTACATCAGCCACCTACAAATTCAAAAACTTCCCCAAATATTATTTTTTTCATGTTATGTATAAGGCCACGAGACCAACTACTGAAACTATAAATGTTAGAATTTGCATTTAAATGAAGCAGATGTATTGCAGATGATATTAATATCACTTTATAGTCCTATAGTTCACATATGGTGTGGGTGTAACCCTTTGCCTTTTACAATTTACAACATACAAGTGAGCAAACTATTCTGAAATCCTTGTTTCTGATAAAAGTGTTCATTTAATTGCTTATTATTTCAAAATGTTTTTGGTTTGAGCTAAACGTCAGTGACATTTAGATGCTGTCAATGAGCATTAGACAATTAAAATGTTTTCTCTTCTAAAATTTAGCTGCTTTTACAAATCTATGAGCTAACATGACCATGAATTACTTTTGCTATTGAAACAGGAAGGAAGTGGGCAGGGCACACCCTTGAAAAAAATGACATAGGCATAGGACATGACAAAAACTGGTTAAAAGCAACCTGGTCCAAGATGGCAGAATATTCGACTTCTAATGGACCTTGAGCCTTATCATACTCTCATTGTAATACATTAGCATGCTAAATGACAGTCCCACCAATGCCATGACAGTTCTAAGGCTAACCATAAAAGGCCAAAAAGTGGGTGGTGGCCCAATTCCTGGAAATCTCCACCCCTTCCCTGAAATAATTGGAATAATCCTTCCACTAATTAGCCTATGAAATTACCCAGCCCATAAAAACTAACCACGCCATGTTTCGGGGCCTCTCACCTTCTGAGATGGCCCATACTCTGTCTGTGGAGTGTGTTTCTCTCTAAATAAATCCACTTCTTACCTATCACTTTGTCTCTCACTGAATTCTGCCTGCGACGAGACATCAAGAACCTCAGATTCACCAGGAACACTGAGACTGCAGACCCTAAGGATAGACAAAAGCTTAGCTATCTTTTTATTTTGTGCAAACCCAGCATAATGCCTTGCACCTAGTAGACACCCCAAATTTTTTGGAAAATACCAAAATGTTTTGGAAATAATTGCATATGTTTATAGGGTTCATATGTGTCATAGGAAACTGAATAGAGTAGAAAAAGCTACACCAAAAAAGGACCAAAAAATGGAACTTGAGTATTGCAAATAGGAAGGATTATTATCTTCATATTTGCTCTTTAATTTATCTTCAGCTTCCATGACACACATACAAACACATTAAGAAAAAAGTCATGCAAAAAACAAAACCAAAAAACACTTTCCTATACAATCTCCCCTTCACCCCCAGATAGATTTATCTGTTTTTTTTTTAACATCCCCATGAGATTTCTGTGTTTGTTTGCTTTTGGCATCATCCTGACACTCAAGTGAAAGGCTTAGCTGACACTTCTGTTAGCAAGGTTGCGCAGAGAGAAGAAGGTCCACCTTTACTCCTCTTGTTTCATCCTTGCTGCCTCTCACCCTTCTCTCTCCCTCCTGATCAGTTCGAAGTAGAGGCAGGCCTGACTCTTAGCCTCCTAAGATATATTACTACCCTGTTGGGGAAAAGTAAGCACAAGCTCCCCAAACCTACGGTGTGGTGTGGTACATAAGCAACCAACGTGTACTCTGTAAAGAAAATGCAGAGAATGAAGAGATCATACAAGTATAACCCTTTTTTCAGTCAATGGCAGGTACTTTCCCTCTTCCTTTCCTTTTGTCTCTAGAACACAGCAGTCTCCAGTAAAGCAATCTCTCACTTTACAAGTAAAAGGAATTGCTGAAGGAAGAAAGAAATATTAGGAGACCTTGAGACCAATTATTCCATCTACTGTGGCTGTGTAATTTTGGGTGAGTCACTCTTCTTCAGGAAATTGAAAGAATGTCAAATATGCGAAAGTTACTGAGGATGGCTGCAGAGCAGAATGTGGATCCTGGGGTAATTTCAAGTTTCCTCCCTACTTTCTCCCAGAAACACACACATCAGATATAATGAAGGCTGAGGGGGAAGGGATGGTCAGGGAGAGGGAATGTGTTAAAATGAGGTCTCAAGGGGTGTGTGAACTCGACCTAGCCAATCAGTGGAAGAAATGTAAGCAAAATTATGTGGAAAAGATTTTCTTTGTTTCATAGTTCACATAATGAAAATGGAGGATAAGTCCATGGGAAAATACCTTAATATCTTCTTCCTGTTATTTTAATGCCATACCAACCAGAATGAGGCACATCAAAAAACAAATTGTTCACAAACATCCAAACATCTTTCAAATCCCCCAAGGGTCATAATAAACACCCCTTCTTAAATAAACTGCAATGAGCAAGGAGAGTGAGGACAATAAAGGAAAGGACAGAGAGGACATGGGATGAAGAAAGTAGGGAACAAGTGGCTTGAACAGCTTGCTTATACCACACGGACCTCAGCTCAAAGCAGAAGGGCCACAAGGACCTTGAGAAAAACCCCTCTGTATTAGTTTGCTCAGGCTGCTGTAATAAATACCACAGTCTGGGTAGTTTAAACAACAGAAATTTATTTTCTTATAGTTCTGAGGCTTGAAGCCTAAGATCAAGGTGACTGCCTTCTCCAAAGGCCTCTCCCCTTGGCTTGTAGATGAGTGCCTTCTCTCTGTGTCCTCACATGGTCTTTCCTCTATGCATGCCCATCCCTGGTGTCTCTTTGTCCAAATTTCCTCTTCTGATAAGGATACCAGTCAGACTGGATTAGGGCCCACCCTAATGGCCTCATTTTAACTTAATCACCCCCTTTAAAGGCCCAAATACAGTCACACTCGGAGGTACTGGGAATTAGGGCTTCAACGTGAATTTTGAGGGGACATGATTCAGCCCATAACACTCTTCGTGCAAGCTGGCAGAGTCTAGTTAATATGTGTGTCCTGGGGCTTCCCTGGTGGCGCAGTGGTTAAGAATCTGTCTGCCAATGCAGGGGACACGGGTTCGAGCCCTGGTCTGGGAAGATCCCACATGCCACGGAGCAACTAAGCCCGTGTACCACAACTACTGAGCCTGCGCTCTAGAGCCTGCAAGCCACAACTTCTGAAGTCCGTGTGCCTAGAGCCCGTGCTCCACAACAAGAGAAGCCACAGCAATGAGAAGCCCGCACACCGCAACGAAGTGTAGCCCCTGCTCTCTGCAACTAGAGAAAGCCCACGCACAGCAACGAAGCCCCAACACAGCCAAAAATAAATAAAAATAAAATAAATTAAAAGAGCCTGTACCTATAGCTTAACCCTTAAAAAATATATATATGTGTGTGTGTGTGTGTGTGTGTGTGTGTGTGTGTGTGTGTGTCCTTTGACTAGGCTATTCCTCTTCTAGAAATTTATCCTAGAAAAATAACTAGCATATATGCCAAAAAAATTTTTCATAAGGATGTTTATTGCAACACAGGTGAAACAGCAAAAAATAGTAAATAACATAATTGTCTATTTATAGGAGATTTGTATAATAAATTACAGTCTAACCCATACAAATAGAATACTGCGTCTGGAAAGATGTCCAAGATCTTATATAAAAAACTCAAGTAACAGAACACTGTGTATAGTATAAACTCATGTTTAGAAATTATATCATATATTTGTATAGGCCTAGAAAAAGGTCTGAAAAAATATATATCAAACTCTTAACAGTAGTTACCTCTAAGGTATGGAAGTAGGGCCTTTCACTTTTTATTTGTACACTTATATAATCTGAATTTTTGCAACAGATGTGTTTGCTTTTGTAGTTAAAATATGAAAGCATTAATGAGGAACATGGTATAGACAGGTTTAAAGCCTATGAAGTTTGACAAATACTGTAAAAAAATAACAAAAATGGCCTGTATTGAGCATCTACTATTTATTCATTCAACAAAAAAGTTTGAGTCCCTACGTCCCAGGCATTGTTAGGGACTTAACATATCATATATTACACGCAGTCCTCACAAAAAACTTCTTCAGGCAAGTTTTACCATTTTGATTTTATCATGGCAGAAATCAAGGCTCAGAGAAGTCAAGTAATTTACAAAAGTTGCACAGTTAATAAGCAATGAAAGGACTTCCCCGGCGGTCGGTCCAGTGGTTAAGAGTCTGTACTTCCAATGCAGGAGGAACGGGTCTGATCCCTGGTTGGGGAACTAAGATCCCACATGCCATGGGGTGCGGTCAAAAACCTAAAAAAAAAACCTTTGGTCTACTTTACTATGTTGCCTTATAAAATTACTGTTCTGTTTTATATACAGGATACAGAAAATTGTCATCCAGCTTAATGTTATCACATTTACAGGTCATTACTATATTCTTTCAGCAAACTACCACCTTTATAAAGTTTATTTATTTTTATTTATTTATTTTTGGCTGCACTGGGTCTTTGTTGCCGTGCCCGAGCTTTCTCTAGTTGCGGTGAGCGGGGGCTTCTCTTGTTGCGGAGCACGGGCTCTTAGCATACGGGCTTCAGTAGTTGTGGCGCATGGGCTTAGTTGCTCCACAGCATGTGCGATCTTCCCGGACCAGGGCTTAAGCCCGTATCCCCTGTATTGGCAGGAGTTCTTAACCACTGCGCCACCAGGGAAGCCCCAAGCTACCACCTTTAAATCTAAATCAATCTATGTATCTATCCATCCATCCATCCACCCATCCATCCATCTATCCATATTTCATAGCCACTAATCAAAAATATTTGCCAGAACATTTTTGGACTTACAAGTGATTTTGATAAGTCGAGGAAAATTCCAGAATTTTGGGTTCTCATTAACAATGATTGAAGGGTGGTGGGTGAGTACCAGGAGAGCCACTCTTGTTTACTCTGTTGATTGTAGGGGAGGGCAGTACTGGTATTTGGAATATTGATAAAGCAGTGTCTGGGTCTATAACTTCAGTTATCAAAAGAAAGAGGCTTTGATGGATTATGCCCACTGATTACCATCTCTGTGAGAAGCACACACATATGTATTGTTTCCTGTGAAAATGAGGACTTTGTACAGATAGGCTGGTACTGTGGGATGAAAAGTACTTCAAGAGAATCTCTAGAGCAGCAGGACTCTTGATCATCCCATCCCCTGAAATGTTATCATTCCTCTTCAGGCAGCAATAGGATCCATCTGAATGTGCTACCACCTATCTACAAGTGTGATTTCAGGGAATTCAGCATATCTCCCCAATCCTTCCTAGCTCCTGCCTCTGATATCAACGTCATTCCTCTAACTGCCTGCTCTTTGTTCGAAAGCAGTAGGTCCCAAAAGCAAAATGCTTTCATCTGTCATCAGACATGTACTACTTGATGTGAATGGAGGTGAAGATCATGAGGACAGTAGGCCCCTTCTCAGGGATTGGGGAAGAAACAGGTAAAATTGGGGATGCTGGGGACACAAAGACAAATTTGCCAATTTTACTATGCTGCCTAGGACATAATCTGGGACTAATGAGAACCCTGTCAGTCACGAGTCACTGGGAATTTATTTTAACCACTAGTGAGTGGAGTGAGGATGGAAATAGTCAGCTGCCTGATGCCTCATGTGAGCAGAGTTCTTTACTGTCAAATGATCTTCCTAGCTATCACCCCTGTGTAAGCCTGGCAAGCCTTTGCCCCAGTCCCTGTAGATACCACAGAGAGACAGAAAGAGTATAGGTTTTGCATTCAGAATAGACTTAGGTTCAAATACAACTCATCCACTTACTGGCCATCTGACCTTGGGCAAGTCAACCTGTCTCACAGGGCTGTCATGAGGATAAAATGAGATTTTGTAAGTAAAGAGCTTTGCACAGTGCCTGTTACACAAAAGGGACCGAATGAATATACAATCAATCCTTTCTGGGTCCCTGCTGGGTCCCTGGGTCCACCAGGACCAAAGCCCAGCCTTGAACCTAAGCCCAGTCAGCTCCGAGTCCTGACCACTTGTCCAAATCCTGCTGAGTTTTTCTCTAGGCTTGCACCCTGTTTTCTTATCCTTTTCAGCATCAGGATGAAGCTGCAAACACGTATCCTGCCTGCTTTACACCCACCAACTACACTCCATAGATGGCAGTGCCAGCTTCAGTAAGACTAGAGTCTGCTCTGGTTCCCGTCAGACTTGGTGAGTTAGACCAGGGGTTCCCAACCCTTTTGGAACCACCCAGACCTAAACTTCTCTGTGTGCAGAGCCTGGAGATATGCATTCTTTAAAAAGCTCCTCTTCCCTCATTGCAAGGGCCATCTCACTAACCATCACCCATTCTTGCTTCAATGCAGAAGTTCCTAGCATGATGTGTAGCCAAGACTGGAGTATCTACCTTGCAGATAGTGGGTGCTTAATAAATGTTTATGGAGCAAATAAAAGTTTTCTGTTGGGTGTTATTTTTTTCCTTACAAAGATATTTAGCCATGGAATTTAAAAATAATGTTAAAATAATGGCACATACTAGATGTTCGATGAAGATTGGTTACTGAATGATTAAAGCCTGTTTTCTTTTGGGATAGCAACTATTTGGAAGAATGCCTGTGAGTACAGAAGTTCCATGGAAGTAAATGAAATGACAGCATATGGAAGAGTTTTATGAAGCGTGAAGGAATATTTGAAATAATAATGATGTTATACCATTCAAATCTTAACGTTAGTACATTCTAATTTGTTCTGGAAAAAATGGAACTGGGATAAGCAATTTCTGATAGGTTACAGTGTATGTCAGCAGGAAGGGGAAAAGCAAGAAAGGGGTCTCATTGCTATACAAGCACAATAAAAGGACTTATCTCCTTTTTTGCCTTTAAAACAAAACTTGTTAGTATGGAAAGTTTCAAACATATTTAAAGTAGGGAGAAGAGTATAGTAAATCTTCATATCCATCACACAGCTTCAATAATTATCAACACTGTCTATATTGGACTAACCTATGTGATGCAAAATGGGGCTTCTGAGTTTAAAGATGGTTTGAAAAGAATGTGTAAATAAATGCTTTAGGACTAGGTCAACATTCTTTGAGAAGATTTAGAGATAACGTGTACTCCCAGAGCCAATTTGCATATATTTTTCAACATCTGGCTAACAATTCCTCTTTGAGTTGGATGATTACAACATCCCAAACTCTGCACAATCTCCTGATGAGTGTATATAATAGAGTACTTGTCTCTAAAAAAACAACCTATTTTTAGAACTTTAGAAAATTGTGGCTGTGTCCCCATCTGGGCTACAAAGGACCAGTGAGCCCAGTTTACTGTGGTTCCTGCATTCATGACTACAGATATCCCACCACCAAGCTAGTATTATGACAACCGAGTGAGAGAGGCTGCAGGTCTGGGTTCATCGACTGTAGAAAGAGTCTCTGAGTGTGAGTTTATACTCTAAGCCAAAACATTAGGGAGTGGTTAGTAGTTTCATGCTGAATATGAGTAATTTCCTGGGAATCACTATTATTTACTTGGTTCAACCATTCATTTAAGTATATGGTGATGTGACAAGGTATTAGCTTTTCTACCGTTTTCTTTCTTCCAAGTTTGCATTTTCCTTTTTTTTTTTTGCAGTACACGGGCCTCTCACTGTTGTGGCCTCTCCCGTTGCGGAGCACAGTCTCCGGACGCGCAGCGGCCATGGCTCACGGGCCCAGCCACTCCGCGGCGTGTGGGATCTTCCCGGACCGCGGCACGAACCCATGTTCCCTGCATCAGCAGGCAGACTCTCAACCACTGCGCCACCAGGGAAGCCCTGTATTTTCCATTTTTAGTATGAGGTCATCAGGTGCTAAGTTATACTCTTTGACAGTGGGAAGCAAAATCTTAATCTTAATGAAACCATTGCTTGGGAGGAATCCACCACATCATGTTTATTGCATATAGTTTCACATTAAACCCACAGCTCAATATGTATTTATTGAATGAACAAGGTTGAATGTCTTCCTTCCAAGTATTTTTCTAGCTGCTCACGTGTTTTAATATCACATTAATGTGTTTTTAGTCGTATAAAAAAATCTCACCTATAGCCAGTGTATTTTCCCTTGGGATTCAAATTCCATGTTGATAATCTTTCTAACTCTCTGACCTATCAGTTCCTTTGCCTTGAGCTCTGTGGCTCCATCTCATTCTGCCTCAGATCTCCCTTAGTGTCGCCACACCTTAGTTTTCACCATCATCCATAACGTCTCCACATTTGAGACTCTCAAACTTGAAAAGTTTCCTCTGACCACTATCTGTCTCTCTCTCCTATTACCTCACTTTTTTCTGACCCATCCTTCACATTTTCAGGCCCATACCCTTTGCTCTTTCTCCATTTGCCAGCCTTCCTGGCCTCTCAGGATGTCCCAAGCCACCTACCTGAGGAATCTCAGGGACAGTTCTTCCCACTGTGCTCGCCGGACCTGCAACCTAATGACTTATTTCACTCATCTTGGTTCACAACTGTCGTGTCAATCTCCAGACCTGGTTAGGCCAACCATCTGTTTCTTCTTGTTCCTTTTCTAGGCAGCTGAACAATTCTGGAGAAAATAGACATAACCAGGTTGATTGGATGCTCTAAAATATATTTTTCCAATATGTCTGGGAATTCAATAACCCTGGGAATTCCTTTTCTTACCTATCATCAATTCACCCTTATAATACACATAGCTGTTGTTCCAATCTTCTGTACTCCCTTTCAATTTCTACACCTACCTCTACCCTCTTTTGCTACCTACATTATGGGAAGCTGGAGAACACCTGATATGAATACTACATAAATTTCATTCTGTTCAAATTACCACCCATTCCTTTTGTCTTCCCTCCAGTCTCTGAAGACTCTTCCTGATTTCCTTCTAAGGCCAGTGTTTCCATCTCTCCTTTTCTCTCCTCCCTCCCTGGGTCCTTCTTGACTTTGATGCCCTTCCATTTTTTCCCCTTCATCTACTCCCTTTCCATTTTCTGTGCATCCCCCAACCCCCCTTGATATCTACAAACCTTTCTTTCCTGGCCTAATACTCTCCCTTGATTCTAATTTCTGTTCATGCTATTTCTGTCAATCATCTTCCTCTTCATCTACCTTGGTTTCTTCTCCCTCTTGATCCTCAGCACCATCAGCCTATGGAAAGTCTTAAAGCCAAAACATCTTCGTAGACCTTCTGCTCAAATTCTGTTTTCAGCAGAATTTGACATTGACCACCCTCTTCTTACTAGAACTCTCATCTCCACTGGAGCCCACATTACATTCTTTTGGTCCTCCTGCCTCATGGACTGCTTCTGTTTAGTTTTCTCCCAAGATTCCTAACCTGCCTCACACCTTCCCTGCCTTAAAACAAGCCCTTTAATCTGAAGATTCAGTGTTCAGTCCTCTCTACTTTAAGTCTTGACAGTCCCTTGGTAATCTCATCCTATTTTACAGCTTGATCTATCTAGCTATCCTCTTTTTAAGACTGACTCCCAGCTCTGTACCTTTAGCCCTTATCTGTCTTCCCTTATTTACACCCTGTTCCTAACTATATGCTGAGCATCCCACACTGATGTATTAAGTCTGATCTAAATTAAACTCATCACTTTTCACTCCTGCGTTTTTTGTTGTTGTTTCTTTTTTTGCGGTACGCGGGCCTCTCACTGTTGTGGCCTCTCCCGTTGTGAAGCACAGGCTCCGGACGCACAGGCTCAGCGGCCATGGCTCACAGGCCTAGCCGCTCCACGGCATGTGGGATCTTCCCAGACTGGGGCACGAACCTGTGTCCCCTGCATCGGCAGGCGGACTCTCAACCACTGCGCTACCAGGGAAGCCCCACTCCTGGGTTTTTGATCTTGGCTAATCAACCCAATGGGATCTGTTTCCACCATTATCTATCAAATCAATCTCCTCTGTTTACTACCTTTCTTCAGAAACTCATTAATTCTTGCCTGGACCATTGCATAGCCTCCTAAATGGTCTCCTTGTTTTCAGTTTGTTTTTCCTCCATTTAGTGGAATAATAGCAAATCAACTTTGCTATTCACATGTTAAGTGCTTTTGCATTAAACAACAACAACAATAACCCTTTCCCTTTCTTTGGTTCATTTAATTGTCTTTCCCCAGTAATACCTTAAATGTTGGCTTTTCTGAACACTAGTGCTAGTCATATTCCAAAGGTGTGTCACTTTGAGCTCGGACTTTCTTTTCCTACCCATTGCCTTCTACTGTCAAAGCCCTCCATGATTTGGTCTAAATCCATCACTCTAGTCTTATCTCCCACTAAATTCTTGCACCCTGGCATGCGACAAGTCCAAACAGGTCCTATGCTCAGTTGCTTTTTTTAAACTATTTCCTCTGTCACTCACCCTTCCTTCCAGATCAGCTTTTGTAAGTTTACCTGGTCTTCAAAGCCTAATTCACATCATTCTCCTCCAAAATGCTCTTTCTCCACCACCAAAGTCAAAACAACAGCCTCCCCGCATTATTAAGTACTTGGTTGATATCTGGAACACAGAATTTAGCACAATTAGTTTGGCATCCAATTGTTTGTTTCTCTTCTCCATTAGACCATACACTTAGAAGAGAGGGACAGGGCTTCCCTGGTGGCACAGTGGTTGAGAATCCGTCTGCCGATGCAGGGGACGTGGGTTCGTGCCCCGGTCCGGGAAGATCCCACATGCTGCGGAGCGGCTGGGCCCGTGAGCCATGGTCGCTGAGCCTGCGTGTCCGGAGCCTGTGCTCCACAACGGGAGAGGCCACAACAGTGAGAGGCCCGCGTACCGCAAAAAAAAAAAAAAAAAAGAAGAGAGGGACAGACTAAATTCATTTTTCTATCCAACCTAATGAATATAAAGTGCTCCCATAGTGAGTGCTTTATTGTTTATTGAATTCTTGAATTCTATAGAAAGAGTTGCCTTAAGTAAATTTATAGAATTAAGAATAAAATTTAGCTTATTTGGGGGAGCAAGATTTTTATGTTTTTTTCCTCAATGATTTGGTCTTTATTGTAATATAAATTTTCCATTCATAATAGAACTTCCATAGTTGGAAATATTCAATGGATAAAAATTCATGATTTTTATAATATCAAAACAAGTCATTGACTAGTGTAACAAATGATAACATGTTAAAAGGACAGCACAGTGTAGGTGAAAGAATATATATGCAAATATCAGGGGAGTTTCTGATTATAATGAAGAGAGATAATGCATGTAAAATGCTTACTCACTCTCTGGTATAGACTAAGCCCTCAAAAAATGTTACCTAATACTATTAAACAGCAAGTAAATTGGCTGGAAAAAAATAATTTCCTTTTCCCCATGTAGTCTACATAGTTTTGTGTGATAGCTGATAGTAACTTTGAACTGCATTTGGTTTTAAGTCAGTCAGATATGTCTTTTTATGATAATTTCAAGAGCAAGTAACAAAGAATAAGGCATGTGAGGAGAGCATGATGTAATTAACCACATGCACTATTGAGGAGGACTTGGCTTCCCTCTGTACCACTTGATATTCAGTGAAATAAATAATGGTGATAATTGTCACATTCCTAACAAAGACATCTGCTAAGCCAGGCTACTCAAGCAAAGCTGTTTGCTACTGACAGCTTGCTTCAAATATGAATGTTGCCATTAAGAAAAAATAGAGTTTTTGTATTTATCACTTTGCCTAATATGTTGTGTTGGTAATGCTTCATCTGGGAACCAAAAGAAATATAGATGATAATTAAATTCAACATTCAAAATTCTGTATTTGCTTATGGGACTATTAGAAGCTCTTTAATTTTTGTTGTTGTTTTAACATATATGCAATATATCTACATGATAAAAATAAAAAATCCAACGGTCAAGAGTAGTGCCAACTGAAGGGTAAAAGTCTCCATTCTCGCTACCCTCCCTCCCTCCTCTCTAGAGACTACGTTTTAAATCACACACTATGTAAAAACTGCACTAAATAATAATAAAAATCAACCAATTCTGCTTTATTTTAATATGACCTTGAATTTCAGAAAATCTCAATATTGCATGATACCAAAAGACAAATCTTTCCATCTTTTGATTTTTCTCCATTTGTCAATTAATATTATCATAATAAAAATCTCCACCGCAAAATGATATTTCTTTTTTGTTTTTATTTATTTATTTATTTATTTTCGGTACGCGGGCCTCTCACTGCTGTGGCCTCTACCGCTGCAGAGCACAGGCTCCGGACGCGCAGGCTCAGCGGCCATGGCTCACAGGCCCAGCCGCTCCGCGGCATGTGGGATCTTCCCGGACCGGGGCACGAACCCGTGTCCCCTGCATCGGCAGGCGGACTCTCAACCACTGCGCCACCAGGGAAGCCCTAACTTTCATTTCTTAAGAACAGTTTTATATTTACAAAAATATTGTGAATATAATACAGAGAATTCCCATCTATTTGTTTTCCCCTATTATTAACATTTTATTTTAGCATGGTATACTTGTTACAATTATTGAGCTAGTATCAATACATTAATATTAACTAAAGTCTATATTTTGTTCAGATTTCCTTAGTTTTACCATTTTCTGTTCCAGGAAATCATATTACATTTACTCATCATGTCTCCTTAGGTTCCTCTTGGTCGTGAGAGTTTCTTAGACTTTCCTTGGTTTTGTTGACCTTGACAGCTTTGAGGAATACCAGTCAGGTATTTTGTAAAATGTCCCTCAATTGAGATCTATATAATTTGTTTTTGTACAAATATGTTTTGTACAAAGCATCTTTTGATGAATGCTTGATTTTTCCCCCAGCTGTCTGCTATTACTAACAATGCTGAAATGAGTAACAGTGCACATCAGCTACTTTACACATTGCTGGTATAAAGCATAAACTTCCAGAATAGGCATTGGGAAGCTAAAAATAAATGCATTTGTAATTTTGCACTATTGCCAAATTATCTTCCATAGGGGCTATGTCACTTTATACTATATGTATAAGAGTACCTGTTTTCTGACAGCTATGCCAACAGAGCATGTTGTAAAATGTTTGGGTTTTTGCCTGTCTGATAGGAGAAAATTGGTATCTGAGTGTGGTTTTCAAGTTCTAGTAACGTTTATAATGAATGAAGAATTATATATATATATTATGGCTTATTATAACAGATTCTTTTCTTCCATTATATACATTTTTAAAATATTTTATTTATTTATTTGGTTGCTCTGGGTCTTAGTTGCAGCAGGCAGGCTCTTTAGTTGTGGCACACAAACTCTTAGCTGCAGCATGCATGCGGGATCTAGTTCTCTGACCAGGGATCGAACCCTGGGTCCCCTGCACTGGGAGTGTGAAGTCTTATACACTGCACCACCAGGGAAGTCCCTCCATTATATTTCTTACGTGTTTTTTGTGTGTATGAAAGCTATTGATTTCTGTATAATAATTTCATAAGGTAGAGGTAATTTTAGCTCAGTATCTCAGGGATGCTTGCCATGTGCCCCCATGTTAGGTCTTGTACTCATATGTTGAATCTTGTTCTCAAATGCAATAGTTGTTAACAGGTTGACTTCTATCTAGACATAATTATATACTCAAAAGAAACTGCTATTAACCATCTCAAGAGATGTCCAAGGAAGGTTACATTTCTGGCTTCTAGTAAAAATATTGTTCTGAGACTTCCCTGGTGGTCCAGTGGGTAGGACTCTGCGCTCCTAATGCAGGGGGCCCAGGTTCGAGCCCTGGTCGAGGAACTAGATCCCACATGCATGCCGCAACTAAGAAGTCCACATACTGCAACTAAAGATCCCACATGCCACACTAAAAAGATCCCGCATGCTGCAATGAAGACATGGTGCGGCCAAAAATAAATTAATTAATAAATATTTTTTTTTAATTAGCTTTCCTTAAAAAAAAAAAAGAATATTGCTCTGTAGTGTGTTTCCTTTGCCATCCTTTACCGTCTTAACCTAATGTCAGCTAGGACAGGCCCTCATCCTTTCTGTGGAGAGCAGAGATCATCACCCAGGTACAGAGAAGTGACCTTAGCACTGACCTCACTTTATAAGCAAGCCACAAAAATATGGCAATAACATCTACAATGGAGGCATCCAACCATGTTTTAGCAAATATTCTGCAAAGGAAGAGTGATATATTATAATTGCTTGAGGAAGCAAATTAATTCTGAGAGCTTCTGAAGAAAGGATTGCTATTTACTTTTCATCTTCATGGAGAACCCTCATGTGTGTTTGGGAAGATTTTATAAAGGATCTGAATAATAATAAGCTTTTCAGACACAGGTGAGGACAAAATCATGGCTTCAGGGATGGCAGAAAATCACACTGTTCTTTTCTCCCCCTCTAATTTCTGTAATTTTCTTAGTTTAATAATTCAACAGTTTGTTGTGGGCCTACCATCTTGTTAGATATTGGTAAGAGGTCTGGAGATATAAATATGCTATTATACACTCCCTGATGCCCTACATAATTAAAATTTAAGTGAAGGACACAGAATTGGAGAAAAATAATGATGAATTTATATTTTAAGTGCTATTAAAGAGGTATGCACTAAGGAGTGTTACAAGAAGTAAAAATAATTCTATAGGGGTTAGAGAGAGAAATGAGAGGTAATCAAGAGGAGGTAGGAGATTACAGAAGAGAAGAGATGACATTTAAGGCATGAGAATGATCAAGACAGACTGAGCTGTCTAATCTCACATAAGCCCTCACTCGATTGGTCCCTTTAGAATAGAGCCACCTTCCACAAAGAATGGTCCCTTACCTTGGGCATTTGTGTGCTGATTTTAGGTGGCAAACTGATACAACTTTAAATAAAATCTATTTACTCAGAAAATTATTCTCTTTGTCATTCTAATTGAAAACTTCTGATTAAATCAAGGAGAAAGGAGAAAGGCTGTTTGTAACTGGTATCCTTTTTTTTATATCTTCTAACACTTGCATTACTTTTTCTTTTCCTTGCATTACTTATATTTTTAAAATTATTTTTATTTATTTATTTATTTTTGGCTGCGTTGGGTCTTCGTTGCTGTGCACGGGCTTTCTCTAGTTGCGGCGACCAGGGACTACTCTTCGTTGAGGTGCATAGGCTTCTCAACGTGGTGGCTTCTTTTTGTTGTGGAGCTCAGGCTCTAGGCGCGCGGGCTCAGTAGTTGTGCCTCGCAGGTGCTAGAGCGCAGGCTCAGTAGTTGTGGCACACAGGCTTAGCTACTCCGCGGCATGTGGGATCCTCCCGGGCCGGGGCACGAACCCGCGTCCCCTGCATCGGCAGGCGGACTCTCAACCACTGCGCCACCAGGGAAACCCAGGGTTTATGTTTTGCTTGTAACTTTTTTTATTTTGAAATAATTTGACTTATAGAAAAGTTACATAGAACAGGAGAGCTCCTGTGTACACTTGATGTTCCTTCCCCTAACATTTAACAATTTACATGACCCACAGTATAATGATCAAAACTAAGAAATTAACATTGCTATAATTGCTAATAATAGAGAATAACAATAATTAATCTACAGACTTTCTTTGGGTTACCCTGTTTTCCCTATCATCCTTTTCCACGATCCTGTCCAGGATCTCACATGTAGTTGTCAGCTCTGCTTAGTCTCCAACAATGTGAATCATTCCTCAGTCTCTCCTTGTCTTTCATGACTTTGACACTTTTGAAGAATATTAGTTAGGTTTTCTATAGAATTTGCTATTTTCTCATGATTAAATTGAGTTTTATGCATTTTTGATCAGAATTCACAGAAGTGATGTGTCCTTCTTAGGACATCATAATCCAGGAGTTCATGATATTGGTATCTTATACCAGTGATGTTAACTCCCATCACTTGGTTAAGGTGCTATTTGCCAGGTTTCTCCACTATTTTTACCTTTATAATTAATAAATATTTGGGGGAGACACTTTAAGATTATGAAAATACCCTGTTTCTATTCCACTGATTTTATTATCCACTGATGGATCTTGCCTGCAACAAATATTACTGTGGTGTTCTGTTTCAGTATTTTCCTCATTTCTTCCACATTTATTAATTGGAATTTTTATGTAAGATAGACTGTCTCTTCACTCCCATTTATTTTAAAATTTATTAATATCAATAAGATTCATGGATATTTATTTTATTCTATGGATTATAATCCAATCCTATTGTTATTTATTTCTTGCTCAAATTGTTTCATCTTTGGTCACTGAAAGTCCTTTCTAGTTTGCCCCTATGTCTTTTTGATATGCTGCCATTGTTTTTTTGTTTTTTGTTTTTTTGCGGTACACGGGCCTCTCACTGTTGTGGCCTCTCCGATTGCGGAGCACAGGCTCCGGACGCGCAGGCTCAGCGGCCATGGCTCAGGGGCCTAGCCGCTCCGCGGCATGTGGGATCTCCCTGAACCCGTGTCCCCTGCATCAGCAGGCGGACTCTCAACCACTGCGCCACCAAGGAAGCCCCTGCCATTGGTTTTTGAGTACTTCCTTACTTTTCTTGGCATCACAAGATGCTCCAGAATCACTTTATTTTCCCTGTCCCACCCCCGGAGTTAACAACTTCTCCAAAAAAAGAACTTAAATCAAATCAAATCAAATCAAATCTTACAGTATAAATACTAAACATAGAAAAAAATTAACAACATAAAAAATTAGGGCTTTCCTTGTGGTGCAGTGGTTGGGAGTCCGCCTGCCAATGCGGGGGGCGCGGGTTCGTGCCCCGGTCTGGGAGGGTCCCGCGTGACGCGGAGCGTTTGGCCCCGTGGGCCGTGGCCGCTGAGCCTGCGCATCCGGAGCCTGTGCTCCGTAGCGGGAGAGGCCGCGGCAGTGAGAGGCCTGCGTACCACAAAAAGAAAAAATTAATTAATTAATTATAATTAAAAACTTTAATTTTTTTAAATTAAAAAATAAGACAAGGTGGCATCATTTTTTTAAAAATATTTATTTATTTATTTATGGCTGCATTGTTGCTGCGCTAGGGCTTTCTCTAGTTGTGATGAGCGCGGGCTACTCTTTGTTGCAGTGCATGGGCTTCTCAGTATGGTGGCTTCTCTTGTGTGGAGCACGGGCTCTAGGCGCATGGGCTTCAGTAGTTGTGGCACACAGGCTCAGTAGTTGTGGCTCACAGGCTTAGTTACTCCGTGGCATGTGGGATCTTCCCAGACCAGGGATCTAACCTGTGTCGCCTGCATTGGTAGGCAGATTCTTAACCACTGCGCCACCAGGGAAGTCTCATGGCATCATTTTTTGTCCCTTAGAATTTGGCTGCTACTTGAATTACAGTTTTCCTCTCAGGCCTAGGTTGAGAGTATTCATCAGATGCGCACAATATTACATCATGGAGCAGTGGAGGGGTATTATATTCAGGGTGAATACTAAAATTCACAGCATAAAGATTAAGAGCATACACTCTAGAGTCAGATTGGCTGGGCTCAAATTCTAATTCAACCCCTTATTAGCCATATGACATTAAGCATGTTACTTAACTTCTGTGTGTCTTAGTTTCTTCATGTGTAAAAATGAGGTTAATAATGGTACTTAAAGTGTTTAGAAGAGTTCTTGGCACATAATAAGCATAAAATTTTACCACCAATTTATAGTGCTCTTTAAATCTTACCAAGAACTTTCAATTATATTAGCTCATTTTTATCACCAATAGCACTAGGTGTATTCCTATTTCAAACTTACAGATAAAGAAGCTGAGGCTTAGAAAGATTAAGTAATTTTGCAGGATCATCATCTTTAAAGTGATAAAAACAAGACTCAAACTTCAGTCATCCAGCTGCAAACTCTAGGTAGGAATGTAAGCACCAACTGTGGAAAGTAGAACATTAAAAAAAACTAATAGGACAAAATTCTGTATTAACAAATTACCTGAGAACTCGTAGTGCTGAAGTCAGACTTCAGTGAGGTCTTTTCCTGAGTCTATCTGGATTTCTTTTCTTTCTTTCTTTAAAAAAAACACAAAAAACATATATATATATATATATATATTTATTTATTTAGACTGCGCCGGGTCTTAGTTGCGTGGGATCTTCGTTGTGGCATGCAGGATCTTTAGTTGCAGCATGCGGGATCTTTTTTTTTCGTTGCAGCATGTGGACTTTAGTTGTGGCATGCATATGAGATCTAGTTCCCTGACCAGGGATTGAACCTGGGCCCCTTACATTGGGAGCACAGAGTCTTACCCACTGGACCACCAAGAAAGTCCTTATCTGGATTTCTTAACCTGGTCTATGACATCAGCTTTAAAAAAATTTTAAAAATCCTGATTTATTTATGCAAAATTGTGTATATGTGTATTTTTTTTTCTGGGAAAAGTTTTCACATGTTTCATCAAATTCTCTAAGGAATTTGTAAACCCCAAAAGGTTAAGAACTTTGCCTGGACCGCCTGAATTTTCTGACAACCTACTTACGTGGAGTGGTTATGTTTACTTGACGCCATATTGGGGCAACTCACATCCTGATGGGAAGATAGCTAAAATTTTTTCTTATCTCTTTTTACACTTTTTATCATGGTAATTTTCATACATTCACAAAAGTGCAATTTCTATATACCCATCACTCAGCTTCAAAAATGTTTAACACAGGGCTTCCCTGGTGGCGCAGTGGTTGAGAGTCCGTCTGCCGATACAGGAGACGCAGGTTCGTGCCCCAGTCTGGGAAGATTCCACACGCCGCGGAGCGGCTAGGCCCGTGAGCCATGGCCGCTGAGCCTGCGCGTCTGGTGCCTGTACTCCGCAACAGGAGAGCCCGCGTACCGCAAAAAAGAAAAAAAAAAAAAAAATGTTTAACATAGAGTCAATCTTGTTTTACTAATAATCCTCAAACACACACATTCCCCTCTTGATTATTTTAACAAAACCCCACTTCATTTCATTTCATCTGAAAATATTCTAGGTTGTCATATAACTAAATCTCAATATAATCCCAGTATACCATAGAGAACCAATTGTAAAGTCTATTATTATTATTATTTTTTAACAAATTTATTTTAATTAATTAATTTATTTATTTTTGCTGTGTTGGGTCTTCGTTTCTGTGCTAGGGCTTTCTCTAGTTGTGGCAAGCGGGGGCCACTCTTCATCGCGATGTGCGGGCCTCTCACTATCGCAGCCTCTCTTGTTGTGGAGCACAAGCTCCAGACGCGCAGGCTCAGTAGTTGTGGCTCACGGGCCTAGTTGCTCCGCGGCATGTGGGATCCTCCCAGACCGGGGCTCGAACCCGTGTCCCCTGCATTAGCAGGCAGATTCTCAACCACTGCGCCACCAGGGAAGCCCTAAAGTCTATGATTTATTCAATTATTTTTCATTCAACAGAATTTTATGAAGTACCTAATATTGTAAGGTACTAGAGAAGGTACTAGAGAAGAAAGGTACTAGAGAAGGTACTAGAGAAGAAAGGTATCACATCACATGTTACTTTTTGAAGTCCTAAGATTTGGGCTTCTAGATGCCCTCGAAAAATAGCTCAAGGCCAAAATAGCTCAAGGCCAATTCATCCTTGATTTCTAACCATCTCTCTGCAACCCCTCCTCCCTATCAATCCATTTGTAAGTCCAATCAGCTGCATTTCCAAAATGTATACCAAATTTCTCCATGTCTATTCATCTCAGTTGCTTTATCTTAGCCCTAGCCACCGCTGGCTTTCTGCTGCACTCTGAAGAGTCTTCTAACTGGTTTTCACGTTTCCGCTCTTGTCTCTCTATATTCCATTACCTGCTCAGGGAGATATGAACAGAAGCATTGAAGACAACATAAATGTCCATCAGCCAAAGAATGGATAAATTGTGGTATTTTAATATAAAAGAATACTAAACAATTGTTTAAAATAAATGAATAAGAACTCCATATGAATGAATAAATCTCAAAAAAATACAACAGAGGGGAAAAAGAGCAAGTTGCAGAATAGGTACAGTATGGTACCATTCATATAAAGTTTAAAAACATGCAATATCAATTATACCTTAATTTAAAAAAGCAAAGCAGTGTTACACACATTGTTTATGGACATGTATGCGTGTGTGTGTGTGTGTGTGTGGTAAAAGCACAAAAACATGAATGAATATTATAAACATAAAATTCAGAATAGGAGTTACCTTTAAAGAGGGAGGGGAGGGACTTCCCTGGTGGTCCAGTGGTAAAAAATCCACCTTACAATGCAGGGGACGCGGGTTTGATCCCTGGTCAGGGAAATAAGATCCCACATGCTGCAGGGCAACTAAGCCAGTGTATCGCAACTACTGAGCTGGTGTGCCTCAACTAGAGCCTGCGTGCCGCAAACTACAGAGCTGACGCGCTCAGGAGCCTGCACGCCGCAACTAGAGAAGAGAAAACCCACACGCCACAACTAGGGAGAAGCCCACGCGTGGCAAAGAGAGATCCCACATGCCTCAACGAAGATCCTGCGTGCCGCAACTAGGACCCCATGCAGCCAAAAATAAATAAAATGAATAAATAAATAATAAATAAATCTTAAAAAAAAAGAAAAAAGAGGGAGGGGAATAGGATTGAGAAGGGTACCATGGGGATTTCACTGAATCTAATTTCTTGCAGTATCCATATGCTTGTTATCCATACATTTTTGGATACCTGAAATATTTTATAATTAAAAAAACACAAAAATCAAATCAAGGTCACATAAAATTCTCCAATGACTTTTCATTATTCCTTAAAAGAAATCCAAACCTCTTACCAAGGTACAGCAATAGGTCCTATATGATCTGGCTCCTTACTGACTCCCCAACCTCCTCTCTTCCCCGCTCCCCATCAATCACCATGTTTTGGCCTCACTGAATTTGTTTCTATTCCTTGAAGAAGTCAAGTTTGTTCTGATCGCAGGACCTTTGGTACTAGCTCTTACCTCTACCCTTAGAACATTCTCCTGTGTGTTCACCCATTTGGATTCTCATCATTTAGGTCTCAGCTCAAGCAAGCCTTTGTTTGACCATCCTATTTAAAACGGTCCCCACCTATTCTGTTTTTCTCTACACATCATCCTTTCATTCCCTTAACAGCACTCATTACCCTTCAAGGTCTCTTGTTTATGTATTTACTGAATGATTTCTACTGGAATGTAAGCTCCTTGTCTGTCTTTCCTACTGCTATAGCCCTGGCCATTACAACAATGCCTCATGCATAGGAAGCACTTGATAAATTTTTGTTGAATGAGCAAATTATTCTTATACTGAATAACCAGAAAAATCTCCTAACCTACTGTTTGTAAAGGAACAGAGCCTAGAAACTAAAGTACTTTTTTGGGGGGGTTTCTTTTCCAGCTGTTAAAGGTTTTCTTTACTATGATTTGCATCAAAGGGTAATAAATCAAAATTTGTATTTTGATGATAGGCACTGGTATCAGCTCCTTTTCATTGTCTCTAATGTGGACAATAAAATTGGGTGATGTAATAAGTCAATCTGTACTTTGACGTACTGTCATGTATCTATTGCTAAGCCTTGTTGCTTTATCTTATACATTCTCTACAATGCTAATCTGGAAACATATGCTTAAACAATCAGTTCCTTCCTAGAATGTAGGAGTAAACTCAAGGGCATTTTGTCACGTTTCTATTTGTCATAAATAGAATTAGGAATAATTATTGACATTGTAAAATGTTCTTAAAACATGTGAGCCTTAGTGAATTCAACTTTTGTCTGGAGTGTACCCTGATTAGCACTGACTTCTCTAAGGAGAGGCTCTGCCCTTCGGAGCTTGCACTGAGATAACACAGTCTTAGTACGCGTAGCTCACTTAATTAATTTTCCTCTGGAAGTTACTTCAAATTTTCATTTTTAATAAAGGTATTTTTATAAAGGTATTTTTTTTTCACTTTTGAATGTATGCTGCATTGACTTCATCACTTAATTCAATAGCAATTCAAAAAAATCTTCCAAGGTTGATAGGTTTAATCTTTGGATTAAAGATAAACATATATGCTTTTCTTCTTTCTGGCTAGGTCTAGCTCTCCAGCTAAGATACAGAGCATATGTCTTACATTAGAGAATCTTATCAGGCTCAGAAGATGTACTCCCATTTCCTGTTCATACCACGCTTACATGCTGTGGAGCTAAATTATAATCATAGCTGCTATGCTATTTTTAAAATGCACTTACAATTTGAGCTCCTGGCTCCCTTTTGGAACCATGACCATACTGCCACTTTCTCCTCACAGGCGCTATTTTATAGTAGTTGTGTCGCTGAAGTAAGAAATATCTTTATGCTAACATCCTTCTGGAAACCAATAAACCTTGCTAACTTGATGGGAAGTTTAGTTGGTGAATGAGATGTACAAAAAGTTTCTTTGAATATTGAATAAAGGGATTTGATGTCTAAGTTGCATTTATTTGTTTAACAGAGAGAGGTGGGGAAAAAGTTGATCTGACAAGGTAATGAAAAAACAACACCTTTGTTTTAGAATTATACAGCAACCTCGACATATCCTTTAAACCAAGTAAAAGCAGAGATTTGGCATTTATCTGTTACCTATTTAATCTGGAAAAAAAAGTACCTTGTAAAGTGGAGTTTGCTTATTTATTGTTGGTGGGAGTTGGTATTGGCCAGTTTTTTTTGGCTTTCTTGAAATATCTGACTTGCTGCTTACAACTAATTAGCTAGATAATTCTGTGCTGGGTAGGTTCAACCATAACCCGTTATTGGTTTTCATATGTAAAAGTTTGGGGATAAATAATGTTTAGAAAAGTCCTCCTCCTGGTTTCATAATTCAATTTAGAGATAGAGTGCTCAAAGGGGAGAGAGAGGAGATTGAAGTTACACCTAGGAAAGAGACTTGCATTTATTTATTAATATTTTCATTTGACAGAAATTTTTATCACTTGGAGTATAAATAGGCACATATAAAAGGATGGGTCAGCAAGCCATAGAATAAGTCTCTTTCAACTGTTTCCCTGGAGAAGAGTTCCTGAAGTAGTTCTTCATATGTTACAACTCT